CAACCCCGGCCGGTGGGTCCTGCCCCCGGCTAGTGACGCGGGGAGGGGGGCGAGGTGCCCTCCCCGCCACCAATAAAGTCACCCTGGTATTTATACCCCGTCCCCTGCTCCTGCTTGCACCCGTTGGCGTGCTGAACCCGGCCATGGGGCTTTCCCCCGTGGGATTGGGGGGCTTTGGGGTGAGTGCCTCCCCCCTCCCCGGGATGAAGAGGGCAGTGCTGGAGGTGTTTGTCCCCCTCCCCGAGCGGGGTTTGGGGACAGGAGGGACGTGTCCCGCTCCAGTGGAAGGAACGTGGCCGCCGACTTCATTGAGGCTGGAGGGGGGGGTTGCTGAAGGCTGAGCCTGAGGGAGCGGAGCTGAGCCGGGGCGGGGAGGGAGGGAGAGGGTTTTTTTTGGGGGGGCTGGCACCAGATTTTGGCTGCTCCTGGTGGAGAATTTCCAAGGGGCTTGACCTGAGCGAAGCGCCCGATCCTGGGAAGTCCTTGCGAGGTGTTGAGCCCCCGCGAAGGGGCTCCCAGAGCACGGTTCTACCCAGGGAGGAGGTGAAAAGACAAGTCCGTGGCTCCCACGAGCATCCCGAGGGGTTTATCCAGGCAGTATCCCGCAAGGAGAGGTGGTGATTAGCGGTACGAAGCATCTCCAGCATCAGGATGGGAACCGGCACCGTCCCCCGTGGTGGCCGGGTCAACCCTTCCCCGAGAAACACGGCACGAGAGGGCTTCTCCACAGCTTTATTGTGCTCGGTGGCCGCGGCTGGAGGGGACAGGAGCGCTGGGCAAGGGCCAGCCCTGCCAGCCACCAGGCTGGGGACACCAGGGCAAGCGGGGTGCGCTGCCCGTCCCCGTCCCCAACGCGGAGAGGCGCTCAGGGCAGCCGGGACAGCCCCACCATGTTGTTGGCTCTGTTGAAGATGACGTAGTACTCGCGGATGAAGACATCCCCGAGGATCCAGAGCTCGCCCGACTCGGTGGGGACGTCCATGCCTTGAAAGCCGAGGGTGCAGTACCCGTCGCTCTGCAACGAGGACACGGTGGATGGTGGTTACCACCTGCTGGACCCCCTCCCGTGTCCCTCCAGTCCCCTTCCCGGTGGGATGCTCACCTCCATCACGTAGGCGCTGGGCGACACGGGGAAGGCTTTGCCGTTGATGTGGAAGACGACGCTGGGCAGTCTGCTGGCAGCTTTGCAGCTGATCTGGGGGGGGACACAGTGGCAGATGGGGGTCAGCAACCACCCGAAGAGGGACCACGTACCCCGGGGAGCGATGGGGACCGGTGCGCCACGGAGCAACCGCGGGGTCCAGCCAGGCACCCCTGCAGTGCTCCAAAGGTCCCCAAAGTCCCTGCGCGGTCCTCTGGGGCCTCACCTCACCACTGGAGGTGGCACCGAGGATGTTGAGGATGACTCTGAGGACTCTGTCGGGCACGGCCAGCAGCGAGGTGCCCGTGTCCACGATGGCCTGGCAGCCGAAGGCACAGGCGATGCCCTCCCCACCGATGGAGACGCTGGGGAGAGGGGTGCGGGGTGAGCCTCCCAAGCGTGGGATGTGGTGCTACACCTCCCAAAACACCGGCTGGGGGGGCCAAAGGGGACCCCCCGAGCTTGGGGGCTGTGCCAGGACTACCTGTCCATGGTGATCTGCCAGTAGGTTTCAGCAGAGAGAGGGATCCAGGTGATGCCGTTGGTGGTGTAGAAGGGGTCGATGGCGCCGAAGAGGACAAAGCTGCCGCTCCGCCCATCCCTGCAAGAGCAGAGCCATCAAGTGGGAGGCCCACCCCACCACCTCGCTGGCAGTGCCACCACCAAGGGGGGCTTTGCTGCCATCCTCCTCCACCGGCAGCGGTGAGCCATGTCCCCTAGGAGCCACGGGGCGTCACGTCACGGGGGAACGGTGCTGGAACCAGCGCCGGAGGGAGAAAATCATCGGTAAGAGCAGGGTGGCTCCAGCCAGGGCTTACTTGCTCAGGTAGACGGAGAAGAGGTCCTTGGCCACGAGGTCTTGTGTCATCATGTTGTCGAAGACGGGGGTGGCTCCGGAAGAGGCGATGCTGGGGAAAGCCAGCCCCAGGATGCCATCGAAGGGGGTGTAGTAGAAGAAAGCGCCGGGCTCGGTCTCAGCCAGCCCGAAGATCTGATTGATGACCTCGATGTCCGCGACCTGGTCGGGGAGAGGAAGAGGGGGATCGGTTTGGGTGGACAATGCCCACGTGTCCCTGCTCCCACGGGATGGGGGCGGGGAGAAGGGGGGGTGCATCTCAGCTTACGGTGACGGTGTCGTAGCCCAGGACGCCGGACATGCTGCCAGTGCCGTAGGCGATGTAGAGGGTTTCGTTGGTGCTGATGAAGGTGGAGGAGTCCGCTGGGTTGAAGCGGTTGTGGTTGGCTGTGGGTACAGGAGGGAGACGGTCACGGTCCATCCTGTCCCCAGGGACCAAGGATGCCTCTCCAGTGACTCCCCCATTGCCCGACGTCCCTTCGGAGGGACAGGGCAGAGCCGTTCTCAGCTCCCAGCCCCTCCAGGGGCTTCAGGAGCCAGACAGGGCAGGGGGTTGACCAAGCCCAGGGCTTCCCCTGCCTTCACCCCTCGGCCGGTGGCCACGGGGCTGTTAGACACCTACTGCAGGCCGGGCTGGAGCAG